ATTCCAGCCCGACGTCTGCTCCCTCAGCGGCCCCTCCCGATTGCGTCGCGGCTTCCCTCCCAGGTCAGGAACGAGGTGCCCTGAATTGTAACTCGCTGATTGTTCACACAGCCAGGCCTGCACCTGCGCAGCACATCTTCTAGACCAGCAATCATCACCCGCCCTGAGCTGCTCCCCGACCGTTACCGTCTGGGGGCGAGATCTCTTCCAGAGGTTCACGCCATTCCGCTAGGCCTCTTAGACGGGGTCGGAGTAGATGGGGTCGGAGGATCGCGCCGCACCGCCGATGCATCGCCGATGTATGTTGCTCGATATGGGGCCCGACTTGCGTCATGTCGACGTCGCATATGCATCGCCGACGTCGACGAAGCATCACCGGTGCATCACCGATGCATCACCGATGCGTCGCCGATGTATCGGCGATGCGGCGCGATCCTCCGACCCCATCTTCCCCGACCCCATCCAGGAGGCTTCTAATTCCGCTGACCCCCAGAAGAGGCGGAGAGTCCACGATTTAGGCGTCGTGGGCTTCTTGGCAATCGTCCAGGGACTCTCGTGGGCGTCTCGGGAGCTGTGTGGGGGCCTGGTCATTACCCTTCCGCCTGGGGGCGAGATCTGTACCTGCCCACCGCCCCTGGCCAGGCCCAGCCTGGGCCCTTCCAGGCCAGAGCGGGCGCACACACCGAACCTCTCGGCCCCGGATTGGCCGCGCCAGAGGCGGCGGGACTAGATCAGGAGCCTTGGGACTCAGAGGGGGAAAAGGTATGCATACCGCTACCTCGTTTTTACCTTTTTGGGCCTCCTGGGAGGCCTTCGTCGCCACTGGGCGTGGCGGCGCAACGCTTGTCAGCGCGCAGGGGGGCCGTCGGGCCCAGCCCCCCCCTGGGGGTGGCCGCGCTTTGCGCGTCGCTCATAGGGGCCGCCCCGTTTAAAGGGTGGTGAGGGAGTGCGCCAGCCCCCGACCACAGGGCACCCGCGGCTAAAGGGACCCGGGGCGCGCAGAGGCGCTGGAATCAGTTGTACAGTTCGCATCCGTTCAATGTCGCAGAGGAGGTAGGAGGTGTGAAAATAAGGAGGAGGAGAAGGAGGAGGAGGAGGAGGAGGAGGAGGAGGAGGAGGAGGGGGGAGGAGGAGGGAGGAGGAGGAGGAGGAGGAGGAGGAGGAGGAGGAGGAGGAGGAGGAGGAGGAGGAGGGAGGAGGGAGGAGGAGGAGGAGGAGGAGGAGGAGGAGGAGGAGGAGGAGGAGGAGGAGGAGGAGGAGGAGGAGGAGGAGGAGGAGGAGGAGGAGGAGGAGGAGGAGGAGAGGAGGAGGAGGAGGAGGAGGAGGAGGAGGAGGGAGGAGGAGGAGGAGGAGGAGGAGGAGGAGGAGGAGGAGGAGGAGGAGGAGGAGGAGGAGGAGGAGGAGGAGGAGGAGGAGGAGGAGGAGGAGGAGGAGGAGGAGGAGGAGGAGGAGGAGGAGGAGAGGAGGAGGAGGAGGAGGAGGAGGAGGAGGAGGGAGGAGGAGGAGGAGGAGGAGGAGGAGGAGGAGGAGGAGGAGGAGGAGGAGGAGGAGGAGGAGGAGGAGGAGGAGGAGGAGGAGGAGGAGGAGGAGGAGGAGGAGAGGAGGAGGAGGAGGAGGAGGAGGAGGAGGAGGAGGAGGAGGAGGAGGAGGAGGAGGAGGAGGAGGAGGAGGAGGAGGAGGAGGAGGAGGAGGAGGAGGAGGAGGAGGAGGGGGGGGATGAGGAGGGGGAGTAGGAGGAGGAGGAGGAGGAAGAGGACGAGCTGAAAGGGCCTTGCCACCCCACAGCCGGCCCTCTCAAAGACGTCCAGATCCTGCTACATGGGGGCACACCAAGGTCAAGCCATAAGATCCTGGTCCTTTGGCCCCATCCACGGTCCAGTGGTCCATTCCATCACTTTCGGGCCGCTTGCGTCCACGCGGCTTGTCTGCTTCAAGGAAGGCAGGATCCTTGAACGTCGTCTAGCAGGTGCATGTCGTTTGTTTGTATATTTGCACGTACCGTGCGGACTCATTCTGGTGCACTGGCTCACACGAGGCGAAGTGGGAGGCAGGAGGCCGAGGGTAAGGGAGACATGAGGATGCGGATGAAGAAAAAAGACGGGGAGGACGAGAGGATAATTGGAGCAGGGGGAGGAGGGCGACGGCGAGGGCGAGGAGGAGAATGAGGAGGAGGAGGAGGAGGAGGAGGAGGAGGAGGAGGAGGGGGAGGAAGAGAAGAAGAGGAGGAAGACGACGACGAGGAGGGGGAGGAGGAGGAAGAGGAGGAGCAGGAGGAGAAGGAGGAAGAGGAGGACGGGGATGGCGAGAGGAGGGTGCGGAGAAGAAGGGGGAGGTGGACGATGCGGAAGAGGAGGAGGAGGGGGAGGACGAAGAGGAGGAGGAGGAGGAGCAGGGGGAGGCGGGCGAGTGCGAGGAGGAGGATGAGGAGGAAGGGGAGGAGGAGGAGGCAGCAGGAGGAGGAGGAGGAGGAGAAGGAAGAGGAGGGGGAGGGGGAGGACGAGGAGGAGGAGGAGGAGGATACCCAGGACAAGGGGGAGTAGGTGGTGGAGGAGGAGGAGGAGAAATAAGACGCAGAGGGCGAGAAAAGGGGGGGGAGGGCAAAGCGGAGGAGGAGGAGGGGGAAGAGGAGATCTCGTCGCCCCCCTTCCGCCTCCTCCCTTCCCAACGGGGGTCAGGGAGGGCAGGGCTTGCCCTGCCGCGGGCCTCGCCGTCGGCCAGCGGCGCTGGGGCTGCGCTGGCCGCCATGGCCGACCCGAGCGGGGCGCGCCGCCGCCGCCCGCTCCTCCTGCTCCTGCTCCTGCTGCTGATGCTGCGGTTCCTCGTCCTGCTCTTCCTCCTGCTCCGCCTTCTGATCCTCCTCCCCCTCCTCCGCTCTCCCTTCTATCCGTGCTTCCATCAATGTTTTCCCCGCCTTTGCCTGATTCTCCTCCTCCCCCTCCTTCATGCTCCTCCTCCCGCTCCTCGCCCCTGTTCCTGATCCTCCACTCCTCCTGATCCTCCTCCTTCTCGCCCTCGTCGTCCTCGGACGCGTTTTGCTGAGCACTCTGACGAGGGTCTGGCTTGGCCGTGCGGTGCGGGTGACGTTGGTGCGACACGCGATGGCGCGCGCCATCGGTCCACGCAGTGAGGAAGTTTGCTACGGCATGCTTTCAGTGAGGTTCGATGATCGAGGTATTTGAATAGCTCTGGCCTTTCTTCGTGCCCCTCGGAGATCGGAGACCTTCGAAAGATTCGGAGGCCTCTTGGGGACTTCTGGAGAGCTCGGGTATGTGACCGTCCTCGTCGATTTCGTCTTCTTTTTCGTCGTCGTCTTTTTCGCTGGCGTCGTCGTCGGCGTCGCCGCCAGCGCCGTCGCCGCTTGTCCCCGTCGACGTCGCCGTTGCCGTCGTCGTCGCTGTCGCCGTCGCCGTCTCCTTCGTCGTCGTCATGTTTGTGGTCGTCGTCGTCGTCGTCGTCGTCTGAGTGCGCCGAGGTTCGAAGAACTAAGGTCTGGATTCTTTGAAAGTTCTTGTTGGCCTCCTCCCTGCGGCTTCTCGTCGCCACGGCTGGATTCACTTTTCAACTTTAGCCAAAACGGAACCTCAAGAGAGGTCGGGGGGTCGTCGTCGTCGCGGTCGTCGTCGGGGTCGTCGTCGGGGTCGCCCTGTCCGTGGCCGCGTCGCTGGACCTCTGGCGTCCAGATGACAACAGCGGGCGGCCAGTCCTTCTGCAGCCCGTGCCTCTGGGGATTCCCGCTCCGGGCCCCGGGATCGTTGTCTTCAACGAGTTGATGGTTTTAGTGTCGACGATTCTGGACTTTTTCGGATCTCTCGCATGTGCGTCGTGCGCGCTTGGAATACTTCGGTCCCTGTCCAGTGACCGTTTCACAATAGTGTGTTGTTTCTTCTTGCCGATTGTCAACGGCATCAGCTGGTGCACCGTCACACTTGCGTTGGATTCCAACCAAGCGATGGTACTGGTGTCCGTACCGAGTACCATTTACCGACGCCTTTGTCAGCGAGGCTGTGCGAGCGGCGCTCTGACAGGGAGCTTCTGGCCGATATGCCGGTAGGTGGGTGATCTGATGCAGTCGCCAATCGGAGCCAGGCCCGTGCTTGTCTTCGTTGTGGCATGATCCTTCGAGACGAAGCCGCCTCGCGCTACCCGAGGGCGAAGCCTTTGGGTCAATTTACTGGCCTTGGTTCCTCTCTCGCCTCCTCCTCCCCTGTCCTCGCGGGGCGCTTCTCCTCTTCGTCGCGATGTCCTTGTTTTTCAAATAGTTAAGTAGCGAAACGCATGGCTTCCAACGGGGAGCGCGGTTAATCCCGAAAAGAGAGGCTGGACAATCGATGTCTGTTTCAATTGCTTGTGACATAGGTGCCGGAGCGTTGGCCCCAGGATCAGAGCTGCAAAGGACAGCCCGCGGCGCGCAATCCGCGCGAAAGATGGGATTGATGGCTCAATTTTGCTCCACAGCGTGAGTGATCGGCCCAGAGGTTAATGTATTTCGGACGGTGCTAGGACGAGAATTAAGCCGATCCAGAGCGGTCCGGAACGCTCTCACAGAGTTCCGGAACGCTCTGAGAAGGCCGCGGCGCCCGAGACATTTTCCAGAGCCGCCAGATCTCAGAGATTCTCGATGCATCTTCACCCGAACTTCTCGTCATCCCGGTTTCTTCTCAGTATTGATGACAGCCTGTTGTCCGCGCGTTTCCTTTTCCAGCGCATCCAGAGATGCCGTGTCTTTTGATGACTCTCAAATTCGGACGCAGCGCGCAGCCGCGGGCGCCTGGACCAGCAGCGCCAAGTCCGGCACCTTGGGGAGACGCGCGATCCGCTGCGCCGCCAGGCGCGCAAACGCCGCTGGGTAGCCCCCGGCGCACGGCAAGTCTGCCAGAAGCTGGGCTGCGTGGCACCGCGCCGACAAACGCTCCTGACACTTGGGGCACGCGCCCCCGAGCATCTCTGCCGCTGCCGCCGCAGCGGAGGCAGAAGACGCGCCCAGGCCCGCGCGCCAGGGCATGGGCCACCATGAGCGGCCAGCGAAGAGCGTGGCCAACATCTCCCCCCTGCTGACGGGCGCGTCAGCACCGCTCTGGCGCGGGCCGGGCGCCGGAGACGGCCGCCGCCAGCCGCTGGGGCAGACGCGGTGCGCGCCCGAGCTCCGCGGCGGATCCCACGCCAGTCGCGCCGCTGGCGGCGCGCGGCTGACGGCGCTGCCGCCGAGGCAGCCTGCTGTTCGGCTGCAATGACGCGCCGCACAGCCTCCAGCAGCTCGAGCTCCCTTGGGCGCGAGCGCACCAGCTCCGGAGGCGGGGCCCGGGCTGCACATGCGGCGCCAGCGCGCCAGCTCGGGAGATCGGCGCCAGCCACGGTCTGCGCGCACGCCCGCACAACGTACTGGCCGTCGAGATGCCGCGTCATCACAGTGCGGCGAACGCCTGCGCAGTCGAACGCCAATCAGTTGCAGGCATACGCCTGCAGTCGGAGGTGCCCCCGGATTTCTTGGATACTGGTGGCTCCTCCGGCGCAGCCCCTGGCGCGTGCGCCAGGGAGGGGGGTCCAGAGCCGATCCAACAGGTATGCGCAAACTGCCAGAACTTGAGGCTTGCAGGACGGCATGAGGAACGACGGGTCTATTCTGGCCACGGCGGGCCTCGGCCACGAAGAGTTTCCACGACCTGGATCGAAGGAGCAGCCCAGAAGCCACGGCCTCTCCTGAGCGCAACGTGGTCCATGTATCAGAGTCTTGATTGTTGTATGCAGATGCGTCGTCTTTCTCGTGGAGGCGATGCCAGGTTCTGGAAGTTTGAGCAGTGCCAGCTTGAACAGAGAAGGTAGTTGCGCGAGTCTTGTGCGGAGGCCTGGTGCGGGGGACATCGTGCGCCTTCGGCGCCGCTCTTGCGAATGCCGTTGGGATTGGATCCGCGTGGGCCTGCTTCTTCAGAAGTAGGAGAGGGTGCAGATACTTGGAACCCTTGCACAAGACACCTTGTGCGCCGAGGATAATCTGAAAGAGGTAAGAGGAGGAGAAGGTGGAGGAGGTGGAGGAGGAGGAGGAGGAAGGCAGCAGGGGGAAGTGGTGGAGGGGGGTTGAGAACGGACGGGGGAAGATAATAAGGAGGAGGTGGTGGGCAAACCACGACAACGACCCCGGCGACTTGGGCGGCGACGACGACGACCGATGACGACGACCCCGACCTCTCCAATGGTCTCTTCGAAGTTTGCGGATGTCTCCAGAGACCTGCGACGACGACCACGACAACGACGACGGGGGCGGCGGCGACGAACATGGAACATGATAGCGACAACAACCACGACGACCACGACTACCACGACGACGACCACGAACACAACGACGACCACAACCACGACCACGACAACGACCACCAAGACGATGACGACCACGGCGACGACCACGACCACGACCGCGACCGTGACCACCACTACCGCGACCATGACTACGACCGTGATGACGGCCACGGCGGGAGCAGCGTTGGCGACAACTGCCGCGTGGTCAAAGGACGACCCCTTGCCAGAGGAGCCTGGTGAGGAGCAGTCCTCCACCCGTGCGCGCCCTCTGGCTGGCGTGGTCGTCGCCGCGTCGTGGTCGTGGTCGTGGAAATCGTCGTGGTCGTCGTGTTCGTGGTCTTCGCTGTCGCGGTTGAGGATTCATGTTGGAGTCGTCGTGGTCGTCGTCGTCGTCGTCTTTCGTCGCATCCGTGGGCAACGTACGTCGTCGTCGTGGTCGCCGCATCGTCGTCGTGGTCGTCGTGGTTGTGGTCGTCGTGGTTGTGGTCGTCGTCGTCTGTCGTCGTCGTCGTCTCCGTCGCCGTCGTCGTCGCCGCCCCCGTTGTCACTGCAGTGGTCGTCGTGGTCGTGAACATCGCCGTCGCCGAGCGGTCGAGGGTCGTCGAAGGTTGAATGCGTTTCCGTGCCGCTGCGAGCCTCCGCAGGCCCGCCAGGGGTCAGGCACTGTTTCTTTTTGTGGGCACCTTGCGTTCTCGGGGCGGCCAGGAGGCAGCGGGGTAAATGGGGCTTCCTCTGATCCTCCTTCCAATATCTCCTTTCTCTTCTTTTTCTCTGAGTTAAGTCAACGGTGTTTGGATGAATTCTGGTGCGTCTGATGTTGCGCAGGTTGTCGTTGTAAGGTTCAGTCGTCCTCAAATGGCGCTAAGGTCTAATCTTTACGGTCTAAGGTGTACTCCATCATCGTCCTGCCTTCCTGGGAAGGGCCCTCAAGGCAACCCCCGCCCCCCCCAAAAGCCCTTTCAGACCACCCTAGCAACGGAGAGGGAATCGAAAAGCAGCAACACAGTGCATAAGCATGAACGTTCGACGGTCCGCGCTGATTTCTTGGATCGGCGCTAGGCCCCCTTGGCGCGTTGCCTTTGGCGCGTTTCGCCAGGGAAAGGGGTCCCAGCGCGGATCCAAGCAACAACAGTTTTTGTTGGTTACGCAGTTTTTGTAGACCGGGAGGGGAACGAGGGTTGGAGGGCGAGGGGGGAGTGCAGAGTGGGAGGGGAGGGAGGGCATAGTTTAGCTACGCGCAGCAAAGCACGGCACGCAGCAGCCCCCCCTGGGGAGACACACAGCACACGCGGAAGCAGGGAGCGGCCAGCGCCGCGGCGAGAGCGCCGTGCCGTTGGACGGAGCTTGTTCGACATCCATGTGTCACTCGCTGCACGGGGAGCACATCGTTAGCTGACACAGGGCTGCGATCAGCGGTGTAGCGGGAGCACCGCTCTATTTGAGATCGAAGTTTGCGCATAATTGTCAGGCCATCAATTTCGTTGATGCAAGCGCACGGCCACCATTGCAGCGATTGCGGCGACAAACGTGCCGTTGGACGGAGGGTCCCTGGTGGACATACAAGATACAGCAGAAGCGCAAGAGAAATATTGAGAGAGAGAGAGAGAGTGAGAAAGCGGGAGCAGATGGTTGCGAACACAATGCCGCACACATCATGATTGCATGCATGCAAAAGTGCATTCATCGCTGCGGCGACAGTGCCGTCCCGTTGCACGTGTGCTCTCTGGCGGACATGCACTCTGGCGTGCGCACCAACGACAGCAACACTTGCTAAATAAGAGGGCCTGATTGCAATGACTGATTCTGTCGAGAGACACATCGGACCAACACAGCACAGCATACGGCACAGCCTCTCCCAAACCAGCGCGGTATCAGGGGAGAGAGGGCGTAATGTTCACATCGTGTAATTTTGAAGGAAGGGGAGAGAGCAAACACCTGGAGAGATTGCCCTCTCCTCCGTCTCCTCGTCCAGGAATGCTCCTCCGCTTCCAGAGGGGGGCAGAGGCAGATGGAGGCTCACCCCGCTCCCGCTCCTCGGCGCTCCCACTTCCCCCCCCTCCTTCCGCCCTCCCCTTCCTTTCCATCCCTCCCTCCCCTACTGCTCCCTCCTCGCCGCTCCTCCCACCTGGCTCCCCCTCCCTCTTTTGTCGACCCCCCCCCGCGCTGCGAGGACGACGACTTCGAGGAGGAGGAAGACCAGCTCTTCATCGGCGCCGACCACCCCGCGTACGCGAGGGTGCAAGAGGCCCTGAAGCGGCAGCTAGTCAGGACCGCCAGGGCGGCGGCGGCATTGGCAGCGGCCGGCCTGGAGGGGAGAGCAGGATGCACGGGGGGTTCCTGGAGATCCTGGGCTTCGAAGGCCCGGGGACTTGCAGGCGATCCTCGGGGAACAAAGCATGACATAAACATAATGTTTCTGAGGTCCGCGAGGATTTCTCGGATCGGCGCGGGAGCCCCCTGACGGCGCATCCAGCTCCGCCTCGCCGCGTAGTGGGTTCATCGCCGATCCAAGAAATCAGCGCGGACCTCCAAAAGTTCCTCGAGATCCACCTTCGTGGGCTCGGATGCCCCTTGGATCTACGACCAATTGCGAACCCTAGCCTCTGCTGGTCGGGGGCGCAGGGCTACGCGGAGGTGCCGTAGCCGATCTTAAAGTGTTTTGGAACGGGCAGTTGATATTTCCGCTTCATTGATGCGGATGGGCCGGTAACGTCGTTGCGACCCTTTTTTCTGTTCGGCATTCACGCGCTCGATTTGTGGCGCAAGCTATGGACGGCGTAACCTTGGGGCAACACATGGATTGTGCAACCCATGGTGCAACCCACGCGGCGTCTTCGGAGCTCCCGTGGATGTCTCCCCGATGGCCCCCCCCACACACACACACACACACACACACACACACACACACACACACACACACACACACACACACACACACACACACACACACACACACACACACACACACACACACACACACACACACACACACACACACACACACACACACACACACACACACTCACACACACTCACACACACACACACACACACACACACACACACACACACACACACACACACACACACACACACACACACACATACACAAACAAATAATGGTCGGCGTCCAGCTGGGCAGGGGAAGTGAGGAGGGGCGGGCCTTCTCGGAAGGCTCGGAAGGCACCCGGCCTTTTGAGAAGTTTTCTAAGCCTCCTGCGGAGACACCGAACAGCCTTTTGAGAAGTTTTCTAAGCCTCCTGCGGAGACACCGAACACGTCTCAGAAGGCTGGAGGGTTTCCGAGAAACCCAGCCGCGTTCTGAGAAGGCCTTCTCATTCTCTTTTCCACCCTCGCTCGCCGCTGACAAAACTATGGCCACCACGAGGGTGCGAAGTTGGTCGCGCTTCGCGGTCTGGGCGATTTCAGAGCGAGGCGCGAATCCGTCGTCCTGTTCTGGGGAGAAGGGAGGGGGGGGGTGGCGCGAAGCGAAAGCGCGACGATGATTGCGATTTCGCTTCGCGGAGCGTTACCCTATCAAAATAGGGGGTGAGGAGTGTTCGGAACAAACTCTCGACCCTAAGTTTTCCCTTTCCGTCTACCTGGGGCCGCCTCTGCCTGCACAGTAACTCCATCTGAGAATGACTCTCCTCTCTCCCCCGATTCTGTCCGGAGGATGGTCGGACCTCGCTCCGCGTATTGTCTTTGCACAGGATGCTTGAGTTTGTTGTTGTGTTCAAATATATATTTTCATTCGGAACCGTTTTCGGTGTTCCGGAATGGTGTTCCATTTGCAGCGCGGGTCTCCTTCTTGGATCGGCGTGTCGATCCCGTCATTCACAGTACGATTCCTTCCTCGTCGTTGTCGCAGGCTCCTTTCCCCTCCGCCTTTCCCTGGTCCTCCCGCTACTCCCGCTGCTCCCTCTCCTGCTCCTATTGCTGCTTTCCCTCTTCTCCTCCTTCCTCCTCCTCTTCCTCCTCCTCCTCCTCCTCCTCCCGATCATCCGCCACCTATTCCGACGTACGCAGCTCTCCTTTTTCCTGAAACGCGCATAACACGGTGGTGTCCTTTTTGTGGTCCAGGTTCGCTGTGATACCCGTCGGCGAATAGAGAGAATCAGCGCAGTGAGAAGGGACGGATGGGAGGTGTAAGATATCAGACATGGCGCCATCGCACCTGGCCTGATAATTCCTTCTCTCCCCCCTCCTCTTCCATCCACCCCTCCTCCCCTCCTCCTCTGCCTTCTGTTCGGGGACGCGCACGACTCGTCGTTCGCTTCGCTCCGTTTCGCTTCGCCGCCTGTTGGGGGACGTCAACTGGCCACCGCGAGGTTTACCAGCCTGAAACATATCCCTGCCCCCAAGATCGGCATCACCTTATCTCGGTGTCGATATATCGACGATTCACTCATTTTCTGAGTGCACACCCCTCAGAGCGCCATCTCCTTGGGCTGGACAATCTGAGGGACAGAGATGAGCTCGAGGCTGGTGAGAGGTGGTCAGCGGACGCTCCTCTGGCCCCATCGCTGCCCCCCCCCCCGGTTCCTTGCTGGCACCCGAGCGCGCCATTCCCCTCTGGGCGGCTTCTTCGGCGGGCCCCTGCCGGGCTCGCCTCGGATCCCAGGGCATGTTGATACAGCGGCGGCCCTTCCACCCAGCCCATGCTCGTTCAAAATCAGCCACTTTGGCTCAAGGCGCTCAGGCCCTCTGCGCTCTCGGGCCGCACTGATTATACAGGACCCTCGCTCTCGGGCGATGGGCTGCCGCCGCAGCTTCTCCCGGCGCCCGCCGCTCGAGCCGTGGGGCCTGCCTTTCTCTGGCGCCTGGCCCCTTCAGCTTCCCCGACCGCCGCCGTCCGCTTCGCCGACCGCAGCCCGCGCGGCCCCGGCGCGCGCCTCGAGCGCGCCGGCGGCGGAACCGACGCCCCGCGTCAGGCGGCCGCCGCGAGGTTGCTGGGCGACGCAGCGCGAGGCCGCCGCCGCCGCCGCTGGCCGGCGGGCCGCGAGCGGCCGCCAGGGCGGTGGCCGCTGAGGCCGTGGCCGCACAGCCGGCGCCCGCCGGCGGGCTGCGCGGGGCTGCCGCGGGGCCTCCGCGCGCGCCTCGCCGCCAGGGCCGCTGCCGCCCCTCCGCCCGGGCCTGCGGGTCGTGGCGCGGGCTCGACGAGCAGCCGCCCGTGGATCAAGCAGTGGCGGGGCGCCCCACCAAACAATGTTCGAAGACCACGTCGTTTGCACGAGCAGTCCTTGCAACGTTCCTAGTTGAGACAGTCCTGCTTTGATGCATCGCGTGTATGTTCCAGAAGCACTGTTCTATGGTTGTTGTAACATTATGGATCACGTCAGCGTGCGCGGGGAGGCCGTGCCCGCCGAAACGGGTGCCCAGGGCCTGAATCGAGGCCCAGATGCCGCCGCCAGCGTGTCCCTTTGGTCTCCACTGTGCCGGGGGGCGCGCTCTCTGTCGCAGAGCTTCTAGTAGCCAGACTAGCTTGGCGGGCGTCGTCGCGAACGGATTGGACTGATGGGTGTGGGGCTGGTTTTTGCCGCGCGGACCCTGCATGCGTGCGTGTTTCAGTGCTCGCTTGCTGTGCGCGCGCGCTTTCTGCAGCAAGCCGCGTGCCCACGTGTGCGCCGTCTTTGTTTGTTTGTTATTTCCCACATCCAGGGTGGGGTTCTTGTTCTCTCTGGTCACCCCGCGCAGGAACACACAGGAACACACTCTCACTCTCACTCACCCTTCTCTCACACACAGACCATCTTGATGACCTTGACCATCACTCGATCCCACACTCACTCACCCATTGACTCATTAATTGCATTATTTCCATCATCATCATCATCATCATCATCATCATCATCATCATCATCATCATCATCATCATCATCATCATCATCATCATCATCATCATCATCTCTCATTCAGTCATTCACTCACTCACTCAGTCACCCACTCATTCGTTAGCTTGAACATGGGGGAAGTATCAGGCCGGAGGCTCGTCTGTGAGTGAACTGTGAGGAAGTCTCATGTGGGAGCCCCTTCCCTATGGGCCCGCGCTCCATGTTTTTAGTCCGAGCGGGTCATCCTCATCCCTGTAACTGTCGTCACTTTTGGGCTCCTGAGGCCTGACTATGGGGGAAGTATCTCAGGCGGGAGCCTCGTCTGTGAGTGAACTGTGCGGAGGTCTCAGGCGGGAGCCCCCTATGGGGCCCGCACGTTACGTTTTTAATCCGAGCGGGTCATCCTCATCCTTGCAATTGTCGTCAGTTTGAGGCCCCCGAGATTTGAATATGGGGGAAGTATCAGGCGTGAGCCTCGTCTGTGAGTGAACTGTAACAACGCTTCAGGCGGGAACCCCCTCACTATGCGGCCCGCGCTTCATATTTTTTTAACCCGAGCGGGCCATCCTCATCCCTGTAACTGTCATCAATTTTGGGCTCCTGAGGCCTGAATATGGGGAAGGCGTCGGGCGGGAAGGCTCGACGGTGAGTCAATTGTGAGGAAGTGTCAGGCGGGAACCCCCTCCCTATGTGGCCCTGCACGTTACGTTTTTAAACCGAGCGGGTCATCCTCATCCTTGTAACCGTCGTCAGTCTGGGGCTCCCGAGGCCCAACTATGGGGGAAGTATCAAGCTGGGAGGCTCGTCTGTGAGTGAGCTGTGAGGAAGTCTCGGGCGGGAGCCCCCTCCGTATGGGGCCCGCACTTCATATGTTTTGCTTAGAAATTGAAAATAGTAATAATAACAATAATACTGATGATGCAAGTACTGAAATGTTATCTTGATAACATAAGTAGCGGAGCTGGGGTCCACGGACCTTGCCCGACAGGGCTGGTGAAATCCTTTTCCACCTCAGCATGAACTGAGCCAAAACTGGCTCTCCACAGTACACAAATGTCACAACGGCGCATGCACAACAATCCTCACTCAAATCACTGATATATACCTTGTTTCCTGCACTCCTCCTCGGGCCCATCTGCAGCTTCATGCCAAGATCGGGCACGCATTCTGGAAACATATCAATATCGAATCATAGCCAGCGAGTGAGGGTGCCAAATCCCGACAAACCCATCAACACTGTAGATCTTGTCCTGCCTTATCTCGTTGAGGGCGGTCGCCACACAAGCTTCGACCACCATCGCCTTTGTATATGTCGAGACGGCCCGATCCACTCGCCGTAGTCGTAGAAACTCCCGTCCACTGTCTATAGTCATAGCTGCGAACATAGCCCGAAGATCATTGACCACGATCTTGCTCGTAGCTCCATTCTTCATCGTGTCCTTCAGGCTGTACTGAGTTGAGGCATCTTTCTGTGCTGGCTGCGTGATACGGTCGATGTGCTGCTTGACTTTGAAGACTGCACTCGTTGCGACAACACTCAAAAGGGTGAGCATCATCATCACGACCGTTGTGGAAACGCCAAAATGGCTCTCATCGTCTGCAGGGCTCGAGATCGCGACTGGCTGAAACTCCTTCTCCACCAACTCAGTAGCGTCCGCACGTCCAAATTGAAGAAACGTACCAAGACCCACCAAGCATTGAGTAAGTGCTCCCATCAGCTCCAGCGCCGGCTTACCGATCTGGCCCTTCTTCTCGTTGCTTGAACCCGAAATTCCACCAACCTCACCTTTCCCAGTGGGCCATACCTTCATCGCCGTTAGGTGCTTCATGAAATCGACCCTCGAAAGATGTATCGTCCCAAGATCTGCGGTGTTCTCGTCGGTGTGAACTTTGCTCGTGCTGACCTTCGTCTCAGCCGTGCGTGCGACTAGGTCCTTGATCCACAGATCCTTCAACTCGATGTGCCTCATCCTGCCAACTCCCTTCTTCTCGACGTTCGTGAGAGCGCTGGAGTTGTCACTCTCCAGCGTCACTGGTACAGTTTCGTCCAAGAGCTCCTTGAGATAAGTCCGTGCTCCTCTCGCCTCAATCCCGACATGCACGAGTGCGTTAAACTCAGCTTCGGGCGACGAGAGTGCTGGTGCCCCCTGAGTCTTGACGAACTGCATGATCAAAGCTCCATTGAGAAACAACTGACCACAACTTGTAGACTTCCTCCCGATAGGATCCTCTGCCCAAATTAGAGTCTGCACGTCCGATAACCTTGAACTCGCCGCTGTCTGGATACATGCACGTGACTGAAGATGGGTGAGCTCGAATGAACCTGATGATGCGCGTGAGCCTCGTCTGGTCCTGCACCGTCGGTCGTGACATCCCCCTCGAACACTCCTTCGCTGCGTACTGACACTCGGGCCTCTCCAAACACACGAACATGTTGAGGCCGTTGACGCTCCTGAACTTTGTGGCCGCTTTGGAATCCAACTCCTCCTCGCTCTCGACCTTCTTCTCGTTCTTGACTCCTGGTATTGGGCTCGTCTTCTTATCATTGGGCTCAGAGTCGAGTAGCTTCTTGACAATAGCAGGCCACATGCGAACTTGAATACCTTCGGGGGTGCGGAGCCAGCCACGTCCAAGGTGCTTGATCTCAGGACCACCAACTGTGAGCTCAGAAACCTTGAGTAGAAAATGTGTGCCGAGCTCCTCCAACACTTTGCTGGCTGAAACTCTGGGACCCACCAGCGTGCCATCGTCAACGTGCTTGGACATAGCAACTTGATTGGCCTTGTCTGCAAACGTACACGGGTCAGAAAGAAACCTCTTGAACGTCATCTTAGATTCATCATTCCGTCCTGTAGCGATGTTCTCAAAGTGGTCGTCGAAATCGATCATCGCCTCGTTAAGTCCGTAGACGGTCTTATTGAGCTTGAAAACCCAATCCGAACCATCGGGAAGATGGCAGTACTCCTTCGGAACCTCTGCGTACACCAACTCTCGAATCGGCGTGTACAGAAACGCTCGAGATATGTCGAAAAAGAAGATGGCGAAATCCTTAACGATAGCGTAGACCATGAGCAACTTGAGTGAGAACGAAAGTGGAGTAGGGCAGCACAGCTCATTCTTGCTCTTGTTGACCTGCTTGTCGAAAGGTCGCGCACAAAGCCTAGCCTTGAGCTCGCCACTCCTCATCTCCAAAACCCAAGTCCACGTAAGTGCCTTAGGCCCGTGAGGGCCCCTCAGCGCGAGCTCCCACACGTCGTAGTTGTCGAACCGATCTAGCTCGCACTGCTTCGCCTCCCACTCGTCGTCCTCGGTCCAGCCCATCACGATGCTGAACTCGCTGTCGTCCTTTAGCTCCTTGTCGACCTCGCCCACGAGCCTCATCATCTCCTCCGTGCTGAAGCCCGCCACGAGCCTCTTGAGGTCGCCAGTGCTCAAGCTCTCGATGGCTCCCACCAGGCCTCGATTCCCAGGTGGGCCTCCAGGGCCGCCTTCACCGAGGTCAGCGTCAGCAGCTCCTCGCTTAGCGGGTGCCCCTGGAGCTGGTACTCCCTGCTTGCCTCGAAGCCTCCTCTCGATCTTCTGCACCTCCCGACGAACTGCTTCAACTGGATCTTGACCTTGTGCTGGTTCTGGCCCTGCTGGTCGCTGTGCTTGCTGCTCGCCGTTGTTAGCCTCCGAGCTGGCCGTAGGTACAGGAACCACGACCACCTTCGGCTGCTCGTCGTCCTTTCTGGCGATTTACTTCTCGTACTCGGCCCGACGCTGCTGGCATGTCCTGCTGTGGTGTGGTGGCCGTCCTCGTCCGTGCTGACCTTTAGCTGCATACTCACACCCAGGGCATCCTTCCGTCGGCTGCCAGTTCTCGCCCTCGTAGACTCCAGCTCTAACCGAGGTCCTCCAAGGCGTCCAACGCATGGCTTTGAGCATCTCCATGTCGAAGCTCTCCTCAGTCGTCAGCTGCTTCACTGTCCTGGCCTGAACTACCCCCGTCGCCGTGCCGATAAGATGAGCATCACTCTTCGAACTGCGTCCGAGCCACAGTCCCTTGCACCAGGCTGTACCCAGCTTGTCCTGCAGCTCCGTGTGCTCCTTGCCGATCACTGTCTCTCCGAACTCCAGCATGGGTGAAGTGTACGGTGCCAACCTGAGCTCCTCGAAAGATGTGCGACCGCTGCTCCTCCTCCGCTGGTACCTGTTGTGGCAGAATATCTGATGCCGAATCATCCAAGGTATGAGAGGTACATCCTCAGTGAACTTCATGTTGTAACGCTTCTCCAGAGCCAAACGCCCAGTCCTAGCAAGACCTGCAACCGACTTGACTCCACTCTCAACTCCACCTTGAGAAGCGCGGCTTCCTTTTGGAACTAGCCGTACTCGAAGTTGAGCTTCAGCTGCCTCTTTGCCGAGCTTCTTGATACGCTCCGAAATCACTCCATTCATGAGTGCCTCCAGTGCTGGTTCTCCGTCTAACTGAACTTCCATACTCATGTAGCCCAGCTCGTCCAGGTACTCGCTGATGGCCGCTATAGCGTAGCTCTGATTGCCTTTAGCTTCCACGACAACTCCCATGAGGTAGCCTGTCCTTCTGTCCTTGCCGACTGCCAGGGTAAGACGCCGACCTGATCCATCTTCACCGAGACTGAGAAACCCATAGTCGAATGATACAACTGGAGTAGCCGATGCGTTTGGATCTCTCGCGCGATGAGGGTCTTCTTGCCCTCGTCCCATCATGCACTCCTGACACCAAGCTTCGAAAGGAATGTGACCTCTCCGAATGTGCGCTCTGACATGTTCTCCTGACATCCGAGCTGGTCTCTTGAGCCCGGGTGCGACGGGCGTCCCCGTCTGATCTGGAACTCCTTCTGCGACACCACGTGGGCCATCACG